AAAAAAAAAAGACTGTCTACACCCATGATTTTCTGAAATTTCTCATTCCAAATCAGAACACAAACTCACCACCCTTGAGTCAATTCTGACTCATGGCAAACATAGATGGCAGTGCAGAACTGCCTCTGTCGGTTCCCGAGACTAACTTTTAACAGGAGTGGAAAGCCTTCTCTCTCTGAGCAGCTGGTGAATTTAAACTGCTGACCTTGAGATTAGCAGCCCAACACATTAACCTACTATTACCATCAGGATTCTCAGAAACGTCTCACTGGATTATTTTAACAACAGCCCTATTGTTACGGGTACGTCACTGGTTATCTGAAACCTGAAGACTCATGTCATTTGGTTCTGGGGAATTTTTATCTTAGAAAATTTTCTTAGTTTGCTTTCTCTGAAATGAATTTTATTTGGACTACTGGACCTCTTTGCCGTGCTAACCCAAAGGTCAACAATTCAAAACCACCTGCTCAGTAGGAGAAAGATGAGGCTTTATCTTCTGGTAAAGAGTTACCAGTCTTGGAAAACCACAGGAACAGTTCAGCTACAGGGTCACTGTGAGTCAGAATTGACTTGAAGGCAGTGAGTTTCGTCTGGCCTGGACCTCTCAGGTAATTTAATTTTTTGTTTTACTATTTGTCTCATATCTTTTCTCTGTATTTGTCTTTTTATCCTACTTCCTGGAGTTTACCTCAAATCTACTGTTTTTTTCCCTCAGTTCTTTAGTTAAGTTTTAAATTTCTGCCAAAATATTTTAACCAGTTGCACTTGAGTCAATTTCATCTCCTGGCAACCAATAGTGTGTCAACTTGACAGCACATAAAACCCACTTTTCTGGTAAGCTAATCAATACACTTCTTTAATGAAGTCTATCTGAACTTACCTTTCTGTTTCTTGTGACTGAAAGATTCCTTACTGAATAGAACTTCACGTTTCTGGAACTCTGTGTGCCTCCTCTTAGAAATGATCACGTGGCCCAGACATTCTCTTGTAATGTTGAATGGCAATAATAGCTCATGAATGCTCAGGACAGGCAGTAATGTTACCATGGGATGTGATAAATCAAGAGCATGGTTCCTATGTGAATGGTAGCTAAGCAACCTGAACCCACTCACTGCCATCAAGTTGATTCTGACTTACAGCAACTCTGCACAGGATTTCTGAGGCTGTACATTTTTATGCGAGCACATAGCCTCACTTCTCCCCCAGTGGTTGGTGGGTTTGACCCCCTAGCCTTGCAGTTAGCAGGCCCACACGTTACCTACAATGTCACCAGGGCTCCTCAGCAGCAAAACAAAGATAGTCTGTATTATTCTTTTTGTTGTTGTTATTGTACACAAAGCAAAAACATCCATCAAGCCAAGTGTCTAAATGCACAGTTCAGTGACATTAATTACATTCTTTGAACTGGGCAACTATTCTTATCCTCTTCTGCATTGTTTCTCCCATTAACATAAACTCATTGCCCACTAAGGTTCTTATCTACTTTCCATTTACTGTTGTCAATTTGATCGCTTACAGATATAAAAAATAAAACAATGTTCAAGGCAGGTATTCTTTCCTAATTCAGTTGAGTTATTGCCTAGTTTTAAGAATACTTAAGGGGTATTTTTGTTTGTGGTTTAAAAATTATTTTAGAGCAAGTTTTGGAGGTTCACCCAGTCTTCATGGCTTGTCAAAGTGTGGGGTCCACAGACATGTGAAATTCTGTTCTGTACTTTCTCCCTGTTGATCAGGAGTCTTCTATAGAATCTTTGAACCAAATGTTCAATATTGATAGCTGGGCACCATCCAGTTCAGCTGGTCTCACCATAAAGGAGGCTGATGTTAATGGAGGCAACAGTCACATATACTATTTTCCCTTCCCATTTGAGACTTTCCTCTGTTGCTCCAGGTAAATAAAGAACAATTACGACTTGAGTAGCTGCTTGCAATCTTGTAAGGCTCCAAGGCATATGCAACTAAAGAGGTAACACAGGCCAATTAAGTGGGATGTTTTGTGAAAGCTGACCCTAAAACCTCCAAACCAAGGAACCAAGTCTCACGAGTGTGCAGTGTCTCCAAAAGTTTGCCTTAACCAATTCAATTTTATAGGTATACAACTTATTGACAGCAATTGTATTTATTGGCTGTGCAACTGCAATTTGGTTTTCCAAACTCCCTACTCCAAAAGCAATTACCCCCACTTCTACATTTCCCCTCACTCCTGGTCCCCAAAGATAATTCCACTATCTTTTAATGAATGTTGGTCTCTAAGCATGCTTCTTCTCTCTTTATATGTCATACAATAGTTATACTTTCGTGATAGGCTTATTTTACTCAGCAATGTCAAGTTCCATCCACATTGCAGCATGCAATCATGGCTTTATTTGTATTACTGGCTGAGCAGTGCTTCACTGTCTGTACTAATCTTGCTTACCCATTCACCTACCAATGGGTGTTTAGGTTGATTTCGACTTCAGGGTGCTGTGAATCATGCTGCAGTGAACACCGTTATATAGACTATCCTTGGGTTTCGAAGATCTTGTGTACAAGGGATAGTTACAAATCAACCCCTGTAAAGACTATGTTATTAAAACTTTGAGGTTTTTACAATGGTTCATAACAAATTAGTGCTGCTTTGTGATGTACATAAAATGATTACTGTATTATGTAATAAAACATAATAAAGATATTTTAGTATACCTAGTAATATTTTTATGCATAGAAAAGTGTATTACATAATAAAGGGGCTTCAAAAATTCAAGGGAAAAGACCATTATCTTCGAATTCCGTTTTTTCTAAGTTCTTGAAGCCCCTCATCTACTGACATTTGATTGATATTAGAAACAAACTACACCCAACTGTTCTTTCATACAAAACTAAACGGCAGATTAGGAGTGGAATTTTGTAATCCAGGGACTGCCTATCCATGTATTTTGCTTGAGTTTGCTTTCAAGTCTTTTTAGAACAGAACTAAAGAGTGGAATCCTAGGCCATGTTAGTTCTAGTTTTTTTGAGGAATTGCAATATTATTGTCCACAAAGGCTTTACCATTTAGCATTCTGACCAGCGATGGGCAAGAGTTCCTATTTTCCCACATCTCCACCATTTGTTATTTATTTTTTAAATTCACTGCTACCTAATGGGAGTGAAATTGTACAAAAGAAAGTAAAACCAAACTCACTACTGTGGGGTCAATTCTGACTCATAGCAACTCTATAGGGTTTTGAGGCTGTAAATCTTTACAGGAGCATAAAGTCTGTATCTTTCTTCCATGAAGCTGCTGGGAGGGTCTTTTTGATTAGCAGCCCAACACCTAATCCATGAAGCTACCAGTTTCCTTGTGGAAAACGGACTAGAGTAAAATGAAATTTGTGATCAACCTTGTGGTTGTGGTTTACAACTCTCTGATGGCCAAAGGCCCATCTTCTCATGTTTGGTGGCCATTTCAATGTCCTCTTTGGTAAAATGTCTAGGTCCTTTGCAGTTTATAGTTGGGTTTTTATTGTTAGTTATATACCATGTATCCTGGTGTATAAGCTGAGTTTTCCAGCACATTTTTAATACAGTTTTTGTGGTAAAATTAGGTGCCTCGACTGATATTTGGGTCAGCTTATACTCAAGTGTATAGGCTATATAAATATACCCCCCCCCCAAGTTTTATATGCTATACAAAAGTAGAATATCCCTATGAAACCTTTTGTAAATCAAGGTGTAAAGCAAAGAAGTACCATGAGAAAATATTTTGAGTGTACCCAGACCCAAGAAATAACATACCCAGTAACACATAAAACCAAAATTAACACTCACGTCGTGTTCACAACAAGAGTTCAAAGCTATGATGGATGCATACTGAGATGCTGCATGATTCTTGGGGAAGGAAGTCAGCAACACCGTTCCTGCAGCTCCGGGCACTGCTTTTTTAACAGCTCACTACAAAACAAACTCTCAACACTAGGTTCCCTTTTTGTAAAAGCAAAAATCCTCTCCGAATTTTTGGTTAGGGAAAACAGGTACTAATATAGGTTTTTTATAAAAGCAAAATGGCATAAAGATAATTTGCTTTTTAATCATCTTTTTATTTTTAAATATCACAAACTTGAGCCAGAGTCATCAGTTTAAAAATGTTATTCATGCATTTGACAAACCTGACAAAATGACAAGTATCCAGTTTACTTGCATTGTGAATGTGAACTTTTATATGAACAACCAATTAACACATATGTAAGATGATTAAGTCAGGTAACAATGGAGACATCAACGCATTACTCTGATGGCATCCTACTACTACGCACACGTCATACTTCTAACAATTAACTTGGAGCAGAGGAAAATGTAAGGCTAAAGTATCTCCTGAAAATGCAAGTGGAAGGGATTAAATATTATCAACATCTACTTAGGAAAGGAGTCCTTCTTCCCCAAGATTCTCAAAACAACTTCGTCCCCCTCTCATTAGACTCAACAACTCGTCAACTGTATCTTCATCTTCCTTTCACCTGAACTTTAAAACCACCTTTCCCTTGCAGCCTTTTAGCTGCATTTCAAGCCCCATTTTATCTGCACTTTTCATCCTTTTTAATCTGACGCATCATCAAATACCCTTCCCTATGTTACCGTCTTCAAGTGACCGACACCTTCCTCACCAAACACCCTGTCAGAGCCAGCATCTTTAAATCTGGATTTTGCAGTCTTAGTCTCTTTTTCAAGATTCCTCTTTTCCAGTTTTTTAGAGCAGTCTTCTTCAGATTCCTGGAGCTGTTTTCAGACTCCTAGTGGGGGCCATCCTCAGCTTCGGAATCCCCATCAGGGTCATCGGCTGCCTTCGACTCCTTTTCAAGGCCATTCTCCTCACAGTGGGTTTTCAGTTTCTTCTTCTCTGGCTCGGATTTGGGGCCACTCTCTTCAGATTCTTTACTGGCTCGGACTTCCTCAGATGCCCTTTCATGGAAGTCTTCCTCCGACCCTCTTTTGAGGCTGCCTTCATTAGCATTTCTTTCAGAAGCTTCTTCAGCTTCTCCCCCACCTCCTGGTGTTTCAAACTTTTTGTCCTCTGTGGGTGTTTCAGATGTCATTTCAGCTGTGCCAGGGTGCCCTGACAAATGTCTTATTCCAGAAGGCCCTGCTCCTTCTGAAGCACTGGTAAGATTGGAATTTGGGAGGCCTCTCTTGCCTGCAGGCTCATTGAGGAAAGCCTCCCATCCTTTCAGCCTTTCCTCCCTTTCTCTTGTGGTCTCCTCCACCTGATAATCTGTCGTCCCATCCCAGGTTTCGGCAGTGATTTTCCGGCCACCAAACCACCTTCCATTAAAGGTCTGAATGCAATTATCAGCTTCCTCTGGATCCTTAAAGGACACAGAGGCCACACCATCTGGATGTCTATCAAAGAGAATGACTTTCTTAATTTGGCCAAACTTTGAACACTCTACTCTAAGGTCTTCTCTGATTTCATTTAATACCAGTGGATCATCTTCAAAATCTGTAGGATGAAACATATTTTTGATGATGACAACTTGCTCATGGCGCTTTCGGGTAGATCCAGCTTTCCTCTCGGGCCTCCAATCCAACTGCTTTTTCTGCAAGGACAGTTTCTTCTTGTAATCTCTGCACTTCTTCTTCTTTTTCGAGGCATCATATTCCCCCTTCAGCTGAAACTTTGCAGCCTCAACATGCAATTTGTAACCTCTAATTTCATCTTCATCCAAAAATTTCAATGCGAGCTCCACGGACTCTCTCTTCAGGTAACAGCACAGCCCATCTCCCTTAAGATTCCCTTGGTTATCTTTGTAAAGCTTGACCTTAAATTCTTCGGTTTGAATATCTCTCATAATAATACCAAACTTGGACATGAGCTGTGTAAATTCATCCAATGTAATGTCTGGGGGCAAGCCAGACACGTAGACATTGGTATTTCGATCTTCTTCAACGTGAAACCATCCAGATTCAGCTTTTTTCTTCTCCCCCTTCATCTTGGGCTCAGTGGGCTCGGGTTTTTTTCTCTGCGGAGGCTCTCCTGCATTGCCAGCAGCGGCGTCTTGTTGTATGTTTGTGGTAGAGCTGGGCGCTCCATCATTAGCGAAGCCATAATTGGCCTGATAAGAGGCAATGAAATCTTCGGTGATCTTGGGGAACCATGCCTTCTTGTCTAGGTCCCACTCGTAAGGGGTGTCTGTCGGCTGCTGCCCCAGAGAACCTGCTTCTTTGCCAGGATCTTCCTGGGAGTAGCCTTCCTTGGGGTTTCCGTACAACTCTTGCATTCGCAACTGCTCATCGAATTCATCGTACCCTCTCACGGTGCCGCTCATGGTTCCGACCTAGTCCCGGGGCAGGGTCCCTACAAGTGAAGAAGGCGAGATAACTCTGGAGTGGAGTCGCAGGCAGGTCCCCGAAGCCAGCCCGCTCCCAGCCCCCATCACAGAGCCCCGGCCGCGCAGGCCCCCAGCCCTGCGAACCGGCCGCCCCAGCAGCTCCCGCGCGCCGCCCGCCCGCGCAGGCCCCGGTCCAGCCCGGTCCGGTCCGGCTGGCCGCTTGCCCCCGCGGGCCCCGCGCTCCGCTCGCTGGCGCAGGCCCCGCGCCCGCCCCCGGTCCCGCGCGCCGCCCACCTGCGACACTGCGGCCCCGACAGGCTCAGTCCAGGGCACCGACGCGACCCCGCGGGTCCGAAGCGGCTACAGCTCCCGTCGCAGCGTCAGGAAACGACTTCTGGACGCAGCGTTGCAGATGCGGACGCAGTCGCCATTGACGGCACGTCGCGACGTCGTGAATCGCGTCGCCACGCCCACAAAGGGCGCTTTCGTAAAGCGGGGTCCACTCGCAGCACTCGCGTCTTATTGGATCCCGATGTACGACTTCCGAAGGGAGCTTCCCGGTCTGCAACCGGTAGTGCAACAGAAGTTCTGAATTCCTGTAAGGCACTGTTTACCTATTGTGCCTTTGGCTTTCTGTGCTTTTGTTATTATTTTAAATAATCCATTATTAAAAGTTAGGCCTGATAAGGTTGTTCCTGCGTTTTCTAAGAGTTTTCTGGTTTTAGTTTGCACATTTGGTCTTTAATCCATTTTGAATTTATTTTTGTCTATATTGTTAGGCATGGATTCTGTTGTTTCATTTTTCTGCAGCTTTCCCAACACCGTTTATTGACTGCAGATGTGTGGGTTTTTTTCTGAATTTTCAACTCAATTCCAGTAACTGTTGTCTTGATTAGTGTAGCTATATAATCATATGTTTTACATTTTAGAAGTGTGAGTCTTCTACTGTGCTCATCTCTTTCAATGTTGCTTTAACTATTCGGAACCTCTTGCCATTCCATATAAATCTGAGGATTAAAAAAATGTATGTAAAGAAGGCTGTTGGAATTTTGATTCGGATTGCGTTGAATGTATAGATTGCTTTGGGTAATATTGTCAGTTTAACAATATTAAGTCTTCTATCAACATGGAACATTTTTCCATTTATTTAAGACTTCATTAATCATTTGAAGCAGTGTTTTATAATTTCCATTGTGGAAGCCCTTCACCTCCCTGACTAGATTTATTCCTAGGTATTTTATTCTCTTAGATGCTACAGCAAATGGAATCGTTTCCCTCTCTGGTTTCTTATTGCTGGCGTATAGAAGCCCAACTTATTTTTGTTTGTTGATTTTTCACCATGCAACTTTACTCAATTCTTCTACTAGCTTTACAAGTTCTTTTTCCATCTCTTTGGGATTTTCTGTGTATAGGATCATGTCATCTGCAAATAGAAATAATATTACCTCTTGTTTTCCAGTCTGGACAACTTTTCTTGCCTTTTTTTGGGGGGGTATTATTGTCCTATCCAGGCTTTCTAATAAAATATTGAATAGAAATTTGAGAATGGGCACCCTTGTCTTGTTCCCAGTTTCAAAGAGAAAACCATAGTCTTTCTCCTTAAGTATGGTAGCTGTTGGCTTTTCATATATGCTCTGAATAGAAGATAAATATTGAGACATTTATTCACATCTTGAGGGTTTTCATGAAAAAAAGTGTGCTAGATTTTTACCAGATGCCATTTCACATCCATAGAGTTGAGTATGTGGTTTTAATACGTCGGATGATTTTCTAATGTGAACACATCCCTGCATGTCTGGAATGAATCACTCAGGGTCGTGATTTATTACTCTTTTAATATTACTATTTGATTCTGTTTACTAGTATTGTGTTGAGGACTTTTGCATGGATATTCATAAAGGATATCGGCCTGTAGTTTTCTTGGGGTGTCTTGGCTTTTGTTATCAGGGTAATGTTTGCTTCATAGAATGAAGATAGCCTATATTTTAAAAGTATTCACAAAATTATACATTTTCTTGAGATAAGATTATATAGGCTATCTATTTGAAGGCCGTTCACTCTCGGTCTCTTGGGTTTTCAAATGCCTTTTGAGTAGAGGCACTAACTAACTGCCTTTGTTGTGACCATTTTTTCAGGTTTATCCAACATATGGGCTATAGGATAGCTCAATATAGTGTCACTCTCTGGAACAAAGGGTAGGTGCTGTATCCAAAACACAAAACCACACTGCCATCCAGCCAATTCTGACTCATAGTGACCCTATAGAATAGGGTAGAACTGGCCTGTGAGTCTTCATGGCAATAGAAAGCCTCATCTTTTCCCCTTGGATCTGGGTGGTGGTTTTGAACTACTGACCTTTCAGTTAGCAGCCGAAACGTAACCACTATGCCTCCAGAGCTCTCAGGTGTTGTATGGGCACTGGAGATTCAGTGGCAGCATTTTCACCTTCCATGGGGAAACCCTTGTTTGATTCCTGGATAGTGGATCTCAACAAAGTCAGCACCCCACTGTCCATGAAGCCTTGCATGTTGCAAACAGATTTCAATGGAGTTTCCAGACTAATAAAGACGAGGAAGAAAGACCCAGTGATCTAATTCAGAATATCAGTCACGGAAACAATATGGCGCACAGTGATCCAATCTGTAACTCACTGTAGCATTTAATTTTATATTGCACGGAGTCGCCATCATTTGAGGGCTAACTCGATGGCAGCTACCAAGAACAAATGAAGCTAATGCCTCTCTCTGAGGTTAAAGAAAAGCAAGCTTTCTCTTTATTATAAAGACTAGTTCTTCAAGCTCTGGGAGCCTCTCCTATAATGCAACTGTGTGCGTGTGTGTGTGTGTGTGTGTGTGTGTGTGTGTGTGTTTGTGTGTCTGTCTCCCCTGGCCTTCTGTGTTTCACTCAGTTGGAGTTTGGCCTCAAGAAGCCACTGTCATTAGAGGCTGATGAGAAACCCTGGCTGTTTTATGCACGCACTGCAGGAAAGAGGGATGCTAGGGGCTGAAGGTCTCTGGCCACACTGACCCCATCTATCAAGTCAGTGGTCACTTTTGGGCATCAATCCCCTTTTGTTATGGATTGAATTGTATTTTCCAAGTTTAGGCGTTGTGATTACTATCACCTATACTTGTGGATAGGAGCTCTGGTGGCTCAGTGGTTAAGCGCTCCAGCGGCCACAAAAAGGCAACAGTATAAACTCACAGCGACAATCCCGGTGAAAGAGCTAGAGCTCTGCTGCCCTAAAGATTACACCCTTCATTTCTCTCCTATAGGGTCACTGGGTGGCTACGGGTTTGGGGCTTGTTGTTAGGTGCCATCAAGTCCATTCTAACTCATAGTGACCCTATGCCCAACAGGATGACATGCTGCCAGGTCCCGCGCCATCCTCACAATTGTTCTCATGCTGGAAGCCCATGTTGCAGCCACTGTGTCAATCTATCTCCTTGAAGGTCTTTTTTTGCTGCCCCTCACTTTACCAACCACGGTGTCCTTCTCCAGAGACCAGCGTCTCTGAAGCAGAGATGGGGGAAGATAGGTGCCGAGTCACACGAAGATCTGAAGGAAAAGAAGCTGAAAGAGAAGTTCCTTCCTCCAGAGTGGACAGAGAGAAGATCTTCCCTTGCAGCCAGCATCCTGAGTTTGGATGGATGGCTTTGCGGTTGGGGAAGGGTTAGACTGTTAATCCCAAAGTCAGCAGTATAAACCCACCAGCTGCTCCTGGGGAGGAAGATAGGAAACTTTACTATAAAGATTTACAGCCTGGAAAGCCCTAGGAGGGTTACAGTGGGTTTGGATAACTGAGAAAATAAATTCCTGTTTGTCAAATCCATTCACTTGTGTTGTTTCTATGATAACAACATGAGACACTAGACAAAGAAAACCTTTCAACTTCCCCTAGGGCCATGCCACCTGTACCAGCCAGGAGAGACAGCTCATGCATGACCCAAGGGGACTACAGTTAGACGTGTAGAACCAGCCAAGCCAGCCTACTCATTTATAGGTGGGTGCCTGGGACCACAGAGGGGAAATTTCTGCTTGAGGACATGCGGCAGAGCGGCACCAGACCGCTTTCTCTGTCCTGGGCTGCCCTCTCTATAGCACCACGACTGACTTGCACCCATTTTTGAACCTATCACCTCTGCTGAGTGAAAGGCTTGTACATCTGGCCAGGGAACATCTTTCTAATCTTTTAACTAATTTTTTTCTATAACAGATCCTAATACGGTTCGAGATAGTGTAATGCAGGGAAGATAGGGCACAAAAGACTAGAAGGGTTTGTTATTAGATCCAGGGGAGGGTTTCCGTCCCCACAGGCACGGACCCACATGGCAATACTGTTTCAAGGCATAAAAAAAACAAAAAAATAAATCCCAAGCTGTGGAGTCGATTGTGACTCATATTGATCTCTAGGATTTTTGAGGCTGTAAATCTTTTTTTTTTTTAATCATTTTATTGGGGGCTCATATGACTTTTATCACACTTGTGTCAAGCACATTTGTACATTTGTTGCTATCATCATTCTCAAAACATTTTCTACTTGGGGCTGGAAATCTTTACAAGAGCAGAGAACCTCATCGTTCTCCCTTGGAGCAGCAGCGGGTCCGAACTGCTAAAGACCTTGTAGTTAGCGTTTCAAATGTAACCCACCAGGACTCAGAGCCTCTATGACACTGAGGTTCTGGATCAGACCCACCAGCCATTGCACTCTGTGCACAACAGTATATGCCGACCTGGGGAGCTAGAATGGAAATAACGAAACCATGGCTTTGCATGCAAATTGTTTCTATTTAAATGACAAAATTGTTGTCCAAAAAGCCAGCCTCCTTCCAGATCAGTAATTGTTCTTAATCTTTTTAATACTCACATTTTTATGAGCTACAATTTCCTAAGAGCTGCACAAAGGCTATACATTTTCTCACAAATATACATGCAACTTTTTCAACCACTTCACGTCCTGTTGATTAGTATATTTGAGGAACCCCTGGGGCATAATGGGTTACGACGAGTTGGACTGCTAACCACAAAGTTGGCAGCTCTAAACCACTAGCCACTGCTCTGGAGAAAGATGAGGCTTTCACTCTGGTAAAGCGTTACAGTCTCAGAAACCTGCAGGGCCAGTTCCACCCTGTCCTGTAGGGACGCTCTCAGTTGACATCGATTCCATAGCAGTGAGTTTAGTTTTTTGGTTTGGGTCATATTTTTAGGTATTTTTGCTCAGAGGTAAAGAAAGATTTTAGAGATTACATGTTAGGCTACTAACTGCAAAGTTAACAGTTCAAAGCTACTGGTTGCTCTGCAGGAGAAAGACAAGGCTTTCTACTCCCATAAAGAGTTACAGTCTCGGAAACCACAGGAGGCAGTCTGCCTTGTCCTGTAGGGGCACTAGGACTTGGAATCAACTCAATGGCAGTGAGTTTG